TTTTCCATGAAGAGGAAGTTGTGGTGCTTTGGCGGGCAGCTTGGGGTTTGACTTGTGTTGGTTGGATCAAGTAGAAGGGATGGTGGTAGCTATGGAGGAGCTTCGGTGAGGAAGGCTGACGATCACAAAGACGGTGACAGGTAGCTATGGTGGTAGCTATGGTGGTCGCTATGGCGGTAGCTGTGGCGGTAGCTGTGGCGATTTTTCCATGAAGAAGAAGTTGTGGTGCTTTGGCGGGCAGCTTGGGGTTTGACTTCTGTTGGTTGGATCAAGTAGAAGGGATGGTGGTAGTTATGGTGGTAGCTATGGTGGTAGCTATGGAGGAGCTTTGGTGAGGAAGGCTGACGATCACAAAGACAGTGACAGGTAGCTATGGAGGAGCTTCGGTGAGGAAGGCTGACGATCACAAAGACAGTAACAGGTAGCTATGATGGTAGCTGTGGCGGTAGCTGTGGCGGTAGCTGTGGCGATTTTTCCCTGAAGAAGAAGTTGTGGTGCTTTGGCGGGCAGCTTGGGGTTTGACTTCTGTTGGTTGGATCAAGTAGAAGGGATGGTGGTAGCTATGGTGGTAGCTATGGAGGAGCTTCGGTGAGGAAGGCTGACGATAACAAAGACAGTGACAGGTAGCTATGGCGGTAGCTATGGTGGTAGCTGTGGCAATTTTTCCATGAAGAGGAAGTTGTGGTGCTTTGGCGGGCAGCTTGGGGTTTGACTTGTGTTGGTTGGATCAAGTAGAAGGGATGGTGGTAGCTATGGNTTTTCCATGAAGAGGAAGTTGTGGTGCTTTGGCGGGCAGCTTGGGGTTTGACTTGTGTTGGTTGGATCAAGTAGAAGGGATGGTGGTAGCTATGGTGGTAGCTATGGAGGAGCTTCGGTGAGGAAGGCTGACGATCACAAAGACTGTGTATGCTAGCCCAGTTGAAAGTCGTTGTATGTCTGGTTGTTTGTGGACTCAGTTTTTGGCAAGAATTGTGGTCAGGTTCATTCAGAAAAGAAAATTCACCCGTGCGACCCCTCATTGTTATATCTTGTATGATTTGTGCCGGCCATCTTTATGCCTTAGAGCATAGCCACACTAGGACCTTTTCGACGGAGCTCCGGGCATGATTGCAGTTAGATACCTTCAGGTCGGGCTGTAATTCCAGCCAGATACGTCGAGGAAGTCCTAGTGTGAGTACTATGCTCTTAAGAAGTATCTGTTATCAATTACAAGTTGGGAGGGAGGAGGAGGAGGAAGGAAGAGGAGGAGGGATGAGGAGGAGGGAGGCAGAGGAGGAGGGACGAGGAGGAGGGAGAAGGAGGGAAGAGGAGGGAAGAGGAGGGGAATGGGACGAACAATAGGGAGGGCCATAGGGTCTTGCTCCGCTACTCTCGAAATGTGCAAAAGCAGAATGAATATTCCGCTAGAACATGGGAACTTGGGAAAATACACCGCCATATTTTTCTGACTCTTCCTACTTCAGCGTTTCGAAGGGGGAAAAAAAAAGAAAGAAAAAACAAAAGGATGAAGTTGAAGGTTTGGAGATGGAGCATTGCGTTGTCAATGATGAATGTGCTGTTGTGGGGGAGGATGGTCCATATCCCTTACAATCATGAGTCTTTTGCTGAAGCTCTTGGCTATGGCGGACGTGACCTTCCATCTCTACTTTGCCCTCTTCTTCTTTCTCCTCCACTTTGACCACGCCATCGTTTGAAGCTCCGCATGATCATGCTCCCCCGAACACAACACACCCTGCCAACGAACGTAAACAACCTATTTTCCGGTCCGATGCAGGATACTGAGGGTTTGTACAGTCACTATGTCGTGTTCGGGGGAAGACGGTAGACCATGTGCGACTTCCTTTGAGCCCGTTAACGAGTTAGAGTGCATGGGTCCCACATGAAGGTTCTCTGAGGGTTCTATGAAGGTTCATGCTGTCAACTGATTGGTTGATTGGTTGATTGGTTGATTGGTTGATTGATTGGTTGATTGGTTGGTTGATTGGTTGATTGGTTGATTGGTTGATTGATTGGTTGATTGGTTGATTGGTTGATTTCATGATGGGCATGTTGTGCAATCTGAGGTCCAGCAAAAAAACAAATGGTGGAGTTTTGGTTGTGGATTGGGTCTGGCAATAGAGTGGGGTCCCCAGCACTGGCATATAAGCCGAAGCTGGGTAATGGTCGCAGTACTTGAGGCTCGCTGCACCACTTGGCAAGCAGGTATCTGGACAAGTTCCTGGCACAGATTCATTCAGGATGTTGGTGTTTGTCAGCAAGCACCAAGATTTCGGATGATACTGGACAAGTTTCTGGCATAGATTCATTCAGGATGTTGGTGAAAAGAAAAAAGAAAAAAAAATGTTGGGAAAAGATGCGGCCGGAATGTGGGCATACTCACACGGGGACCTATATTCCCAAAATCCCCCCCAAAAGGGGAGAAGGCCGGTCACACAGATTCTCCCAAATTCGCAAATGTACTATTCCCGTGCCCATTTGTCAGCGGCCTGTGAAGCTGCGGGGCAAGGGATTTTGCGGGGTCACCTCTGGAGGTGACCTCAAATGCCCTATTCCATTTTTCGTATTTTCTTCGAAAATTGGCAAAAATTCGTTGACAGAAGTTCTTGCACAATTTCTGGATGGCGCCGTGTGACCAGCCAATTACCAAATCCCCATTTCTCCAGACGGCCGCCACCTTGTTCCATCTGAAAAGGTAACAGCACTGTGACGTGAACCATACCCAAAACCTCAGATTGGCCCTTCCCAAATCCGCATATTTTGCGGATAAATCCGCATAGCCGTGTGAGTATGCCCTGTGTCTAGGTCAACAGTGGGCTGGTGGGGTTGTGCCCTTTCGACAGGGGGGGAGGGGATGTCGGGTAGGACAAGACTCGGCATCGTTACGGAATCTTCCCTTTTTTCTTTTTTTCTATTTTTTGGGAAGATCCTTCCTTTTTCGCCTATGCATATGCAGTCAAAATTTAATTTAGTTTGCAGGTAAATTATGGTGAATGTATATAACCTACGTTTTGGGTCCGGTGGGGTCACGTGGGGGGGGTGTTGTGGTCGCGGGCTTGCCTGGACTGCATTTTCGAACTGTTTTCGTGACTGCGCCGATGTTACCCCAAGAAAAAATTTCTCCCGCCCCCAGGCGGGCCCTGTCTCTAGTCCCCTAACTTTTGGGAGAAGCTCATTCAAATCCTCCAGAACGGATGGAGAGCCTCCCGGGGAGTGCTATTGGTGTGTCTGCTCATATCAGCACCCCTAGCATTAACTCAGCCTGTTTTTTTGGCAAAATATGAGAAAAAAAATAATAATAAATTAAAATTAAAAAATACGAAACAGTTTGTCACAGCCCCTCGTTTGTTGTCCTCTTCTCCCTCTCTGCCTACGGTTTACCGGGCAGTTCTATTTGACGATATATATGACGATATATATATATATATATATCCAGATTGTACTGGTGGTTCAAACCCCAATAGAAAATCTGATGCTGGACCTTTTAGCACTTCGCCACTGCATGAGACGGAACCACAATTTTTTTTTATTTTTTTTTTTTTCCTTTTAAAAAATCCAGGGTGTTGTAGAGGCCAGTCATTGTGTGCACAGTGATCACCTGGAACTGTGACCCGTGGGTGTCCTGGAATATGAGACCACCTCCCAACCCATCCTCACATCAATACTCCTAGCGCACCCCCTATCCCACTGTTCTTTTTTTTTTTTTTTTTTTT